GTTTCCCAGAGAAGTTCCCTTTATTATATATGGACATAAGAGTCCGTGCAATAAAAAGATATTGGAAAGGGTCACTAGAGTAGAAACTAGACAGAATTGTTTGGCGTGTATAGTAGCCACGGAAGGAATGTTGATGGGGGAAAGGTTTTTCGATAGTAAAATAGTGCCAATAATCAATGAGTTTGAAGATGTGTTTCCCAACGAATTACCAGGACTACCCCTAGAGAGAGAAGTTGAATTTTGTATCAATTTGTTTCCTGGCACGAAATCGATATTTGAAGTTCCTTATCGAATGGCGCAGATAGAAATGCGAGTATTGCGAGAACAATTGCAAGAGTTAGGAGAAAAAGGATTTATCCGTCCAAGCACTTCCCCTTGGGGAGCTCCGGTATTATTTGTAAAGAAAAAGGATGAGAGTTTGAGGTTGTGTGTGGATTATCGAAAGTTGAACAGTGTGACTATTAAGAATAAATACCCACTCCTAAGAATCGATGATTTATTTGATCAACTACAAGGAGCAAGATGTTTCTCCAAAATTGATCTACGCTCGAGGTATCATCAATTAAGAGTTCGAGAAGAGGATGTACCAAAGACTACATTTCGTACAAGGTATGAACATTTTGAGTTTTTTGGTAATGTCTTTTGGTTTGACTAATGCTCCTGCCGCATTCATGGATTTAATGAATACAGTATTCCGGCCTTATTTGGATAGATTTGTGGTGGTATTTATTGATGATATCTTGGTATATTCTCGAAATCTTGAAAAGCATGCACAACACTTAAGGATGGTGTTGCAGACACTTCGAGAACATAAGTTGTATGCCAAGTTCTCTAAATGTGCTTTTTGATTAGAAAGTGTTAGTTTTCTCAAGCATGTAATATCGAAGGAAGGTATTAGTGTAGATTTGCAAAAAGTGGCATTAATCCAAACCTGGTCAAGACCAAATACAGTTACGGAGATTCAAAATTTTTTGGGATTGGCCGGGTATTATCGTCGACTTGTGCAGGACTTCTGGACAATCGCGGCACCATTGAAAAAGTTAATGTCGAAGGGAGCTAAGTTTGAATGGACCGATGAATGTGAAGACAGTTTCTTAAGGTTAAAGGCGTGCTTGATGTCAACACCAATCTTAAGTTTATCGACTGGTCCAGGAGGGTATGTTCTGTATTGTGATGCATCGAGGGTTGGATTGGGATGTGTGTTGATGCAAAATGGAAGAGTTATAACGTATGCTTCGAGACAACTTAAGAAGCATGAACAGAATTATCCTACCCATGATTTGGAGATGGCAGCGATAGTGTTTGCCTTAAAAATTTGACCCCATTACCTATATGGGGAAAGCTTTGAAATCTATACTAATCACAAGAGTTTGAAGTATATATTTCAGCAACATGATCTTAATTTA